GGATATCTTAACAAAGATTGAAAGTCTTATATCTAGATGTCTTTCACGAAACCGTCCTCCACGTTCGGACGTGCCGGTGCCTGTCAGGGACTTTGCATGGATACCAAAAGCAGACACCCATCCTCGAACACAACCCACTTCAACACAAACAGCTTGTGCGCAAAGTTAAACACCGCTCTACGCCCATCCCCTGAATCCATCCCTCCTGCGATGAGAAGCTCTCCACGATGCATTCCAGCAGCTGCTCCTTCCGAAGGGTTCTGCCGTCGCGCCTCTGCGGCACTTTCAACTTCACGCACAGCTGCCGCAAGTCGGAAGTGCTCTTGGCCTCCAACTCGGTCCGCAACCATGCCGCGCCTCCCTCTCCATGTCCCTCTCGCAGGCGCTGCACCTCTGACTCCTGCAGCCCTGCTTCCTGTATGGGAATTTGCAGGGATATCAGAAGCAGACACCTATTGGAGCACAAGAAAACAGCGTCTCAACTAAGTTGAACTATACACTGCACCCATCCCCTAACACAAAGTGGTTATCTTAACAAAGATTCTTGGGTATCTGAACAAAGATTGAAAGTCTTATATCTAGATATCTTTTCCTTACTCGAATACAGCTACAAATCACGAAACCGTCCTCCATGTTCGGATGCGCCGGTTCCTGTCAGGGATTTTGCTTGGATTAAACAGCTCCTGCACAAAGTTACACTGTACACTACGCCCGTCCCCTGACTCCATCACTCCTGCGATGAGAAGCTGTCCACTATGGCTTCCAGGAGCTGCTCCTTCAGAAGGGCTGCGCCGTCGCGCTTCTGTGGTAGTCCCAACAAAGCGCACAGCCGCCGCAAGTCGGCGCGGTTCTTCGCCTCCAACTCGGTCCGCAACCACGCCGCGCCTCCCTCCCGGTGTCCGTCTCGCAGGCGCTGTGCCTCTTGCTCCTGCTGACCCGCTGCCTCCGCGTTTCGCAGAACTGCGTCCTGCAGAGTGGCCATGGTCCGCGCGTCTCTTGACGAGAAGCCTATGAGGTGTGTCGAAACGTCTTGCAAGTACATTCTTTACGGCTCTTGCCTTGCTGCACGTTCCCGGCTACAGTCTGTGGAGACTTACGCGAACTCACTTGGAAATTGCTGCGGTCTCTCTGCTTGAGCCACCGCGCGCATCGCGCCAGGGACTCGATGCTCTAACATCAAAACACACAACGAACACGAAACGAAACGTGCCTAAGATCTACAGTGAGAAACAAAGACCTGCGAAAGGATTTCATAAACATCTGCTTTATGCTGGCTTTGCCACCTATCTGTACATACATATATACATCTATAGCTGGCGAACCCTAATAGCGATGGCCCTAGTAGCGTCTTTGCTCCTAGTAGCGATGCCAGGAGCCCCTAATAGCGTCTTGTTCCTAGTTGTACGGCCAGGAGCCCCTAGTAGCGTTCTTATTACTAGTAGTCGTGCCCTTGTTACGTTTCTTCGGCAGGACGCCTTAGCCAAGATGCAAAGAGCTTTTGCTCCAAAGAGCATATATATACATCTATATAAGGATAATATGGCAGCCAGCGTGCTGGCTTTGCCATCTAGATTCTGGGAACCAGCTCACTGGCTTTCCCACTCCACTACGATGGCAGCCAGCGTGCTGGCTCATACCCACTTCAACTATGATGGCAGCCATCGTGCCGGCTTTGCCATCTCAACAATGGCAGCCAGCGTGCTGGCTTGCCCACTTCAACTATGATGGTAGCCAGCGTGCTGGCTTTGCCATCTCAACAATGGCAGCCAGCGTGCTGGCTGACACACTTCAACTATGATGGTAGCCAGCGTGCTGGCTCATATCCACTTTACCCACTTCAACTATGATGGCAGCCAGCGTGCTGGCTTTGCCATCTGGACAATGGCAGCCAGCGTGCTGGCTTACCCACTTCAACTATGATGGTAGCCAGCGTGCTGGCTTTGCCATCTCAACAATGGCAGCCAGCGTGCTGACTTACCCACTTCAACTATGATGGTAGCCAGCGTGTTGGCTTTCCATCTGGACAATGGCCGCCAGCGTGCTGGCTTACCCACTTCAACTATGATGGTAGCCAGCGTG